TTAATCAAATTGTCTTCCAATAAAAATTTAATTTATCAAATTGCCACCAAAGTAATATGAAAATTTATTAAATGAACATTTAATTCATCAAATCAACACTAAATTAACATTCAATTTAACAAATTAACATCCAATTTATCTAATAAAAATTTAATTCATCAAATTTAACATTCAAATTCAACTATTTAACATTAAATTCGTCAAATTAGGATTCAATTTTATCTAATTAATATTCAATCTATCCAATTAACACAAAATTAACATTCAATTCATTAAATTAACACAAAATTAATATTTTATTCATAAAATTCACATTCAATTTCATTTAATAAATATTTAATCCATCAAATTAACCTAAAATTCAATTTCATCCAATAAATATTCAACTCATAAAATTAACACTAAATTAATATTCAATTTATCTGATTTATATTCAAAATCATCCGATTAACACCAAATTCATCAAGTTAACATCCAAAATTATTCAATTAAAATTTAATTTCTCAAATCAACACCAAAGGAATTTATTGATTCATAGAATAAAATTTAATTCATCAAATCAATATCAAACTAATATTCAATTCAATAAATTAACATTTTATTTCATCTAATAAAAATTTCATTCATCAAATTAACATTTAAATTCAACTATTTAATATTAATTTCATCAAATTAATATTTAATTCATTAATTCATACCAAATTAACATTCAAGTCATCAAATGGAGGATTATCACCATGTTTTTCTCAACACTTTTAGAAGAAGAACTAGAGAGAAAAAAAAAACTCAGAAACTAAACAAATGATATGTATGGGTAAAAGGAGGGAAGGAAGGCAAGAAAAGTGATTTGGGTGGGAAAAGAAGGAAGCAAGGGTGGAGAGATAAGGTTATTGTGGACCACATATGACTAAAATAAATAAATAAATAATTAGATATTAGTGTAATTTGAAAATAAATAATTTTTGAAAAGAAATGAAATAGTGATATTAATGTAATTTGAATATACATAACTTATGTTAAAAACTTAAGCATGAACAATCATATTAAATTTAAGCACCTCCAATGTAGAGTCTTAATGTAATTAAAATAACAATTTATGTTTGATTGTATTGATCGGCTTGGAGCACGATCCATCATGATCATGATTTGGGGCATGATTTGAGTGAGTATTTGGCCAGTTGTGATTTGGGGTAATTTGGGGTTTTTCGTTGAGTTCTTCCTTACGGTTTGAGTTCTTCAAATGTGAAAAAATGATTGAATTAATTCAACAATGAAGAGTAGAAGGTAGGGTTTGGTTCCAACCAATTGATTTATGTGCAAGTTTGGGTTGAGTTTGTTTGAAATAGAAGCACCTCAATACTTATAACCATCATAATTTGTTAAGGTTAATATTTTTAATTTTGATTTTTTGGATGAACATAAAATTTTTGATGGTTAGAGGAAAAAAGTGTAATCAAGCATTGTTAAACTATGAGGGTAAACTCACAAAAATCATACTTGGAGGGTGAAAGTGTAATTAACAAGTGTTAAATTATGACCGGTCGCAACTAGTTACGGTCGGTCCTAATATCTTGAGCCAAACTCTCAAAAATATAATTAGTCATTGTTATATTACGACCAATTGCCACTAGGTACGATCGGTCCTAATCATACTTTGAGAGGATAAAAATGTAATTAACTATTGGGTCACGATAGATCCTTATTTTTTTGGGTTTTTTTCAAAGTTAAAGAATAAAAATGTTATTAACCCATTTATTAAATGATAAAAGTGTTACTAACCCATTTGTTATAGGGTTAATTATTTGTTATGAATTAATATAATCTACAATGATTAAATTAATCATGGATCATAGGGTGTCAGTGAATGCCATTCACATACATTCTCAAGTTATGACTATTGTGGTGTCATTTTTAGGGTCTCCTCCAGTTTATGTGTCATTGGTGTATGCAAGTTGTGAATATTTGGTGAGGAGAAGTTTGTGGGATCATTTATTTGTAATTGTTGAACCGACTTGGCCATGGTTAGTGGTGGGCGATTTCAATGTAATTGTTTCTTCAGATGAAAGACTTGGAGGGAGACATCCAAGGTTGGCAGAAATGGAGGATTTTTCCTTTTTTATCCAGAAAAATGGTCTTATTGATTGTGGTTTCTCAGGAAGCTCCTTTACATGGTGTAACAATCAACAAGGTCAATCTAGAATTTGGTCTCGCTCGGATAGAGCTTTAAGGACACTTGCTTGGAATCTGCGATTTGCTTCAACAGAGGTTTCTCATTTACCTAGAGATGAGTTTGATCATGCCCCACTTTTGATTAAAACATGTGAAGTCTTGAATTCTGTTGTGCCATCATACTTTAAGTTTCAAGATATGTGGACAGAACATCCATTATTCTTAGAAGTGGTGGGGTGTAGTTGGAAAGGTATTTATTCCAACAATCCAATTGAGAATTTCTTACAAAAATTGAAAAACGTGAAAGTTAATTTGAGGAAATGGAATTGGGAGGTGTTTGGAAATATTTTTCAAAAAATTAAATTATTAGAGGAGAATCTATTAAGAGCTGAAAGAAGAGTGGAAGAGGATAGTTCGACCGCTTCTCTCAATTCTTGTGATAAGGCTAGGATGCAGTTGAATGAAGAAATAAGGTTGAAGGAAATTTATTGGAGACAGAAAGCTAATGTCAAGTGGGTTTTGGAAGGTGATCGTAATACTAAGTTTTTCCATTCCATTGCAAAGAGTAAAGCTGTTCGGAATAAAATTAGAAGAATTAAAGATGAGGATGGTAGGTGGAGAGAGGGTGATCAAGCTATTTCTGATGTTACAGTTAAGTTTTTTTCTAACCTTTACACGTCTGAAAAGCATGATATTAATGGTGTCCTGATGGATTTGATTCCTTCTTTGGTGACTCAGTCTGACAATGAGTTGTTAACAGTTAAGGTAGATGAAGAGGAACTGAAGGGTGTGGTGTTTGACATGTCTTCTGAAAGTGGTCCAGGTCGAGATGGTTTCTCTGGAAAATTTTATAAGGTTGCATGGGAGATAATTCGCAAGGATTTATTACTGGCTTGTAACTTCTTTTTATCTGGTGGTGCTGTTCCAAGACCTGCAAATGCCACTTTAATGGTTTTGATTCTGAAAGTAGCTAATCCATCTTCTTTTGCAAAATTCAGAACTATTAGTCTTTGTAATTTCATGTACAAAGTCTTTTCTAAAATTTTGTCTAAGAGGCTTGGGAGAATCCTACCTAAGCTCATTTCAGCTGAACAACATGGGTTTGTAGAGGGAAGGAGTATTGGAGATTGTATTGCAATTGGTCAATTGATGGTGGGGAGTTGGACGGAAAAGTGTTTGGTGGAAATTTGATAATGAAGGTGGATATGATGAAAGCATATGACTGAGTAGAATGAGATTTTCTAAAATGTACTTTGCTGAAGTTTGGTTTTTCTCACCAATTTGTTTGAATTATTATGAATTGTTTAAGTAATCAGCATATTTCGGTGGCTATAAATGGTCAACGGTATGGTTTTTGTCCTAGAGGACTCATACAAGGAGATCCTATCTCTACTAGTTTGTTTATAATTGTGGAAGAGGTTCTTAGTAGAGGTTTAAAAGCTATTTTCCACCACAAATTAGTAAGTTATTTTCATGCAGGTAGGGGTATGATTCCAGTAAGTCATCTTCTGTTTGCGGATGATGCGCTATTGCACTTGAGAGGAGATAAGAGATCTCTAATTAGTTTAATGAAGTTTATTGGAGAGTATGAGAGTTCTTCTGGACAAAAGGTGAATAGGCAGAAAAGTGGAATGTATGTTTCTACGAAGGCTTCTATTGCTAAGCAACGTATGCTTTCAGCTATTACTCAAATTCCTATCAGGACAGGTCCCATTCAGTATCTGGGTTGTCCATTAATCAAGGGATGCACCAGACTAATTTATTTTGAAGAGGTCATAATTAAGTTTCGAAGGAAATTAGAAGGGTGGTATTCTCAACTGTTGTCGAAAATGGGTAGAGTTGTGTGGATTAAATCGGTTTTATCTGTTATTCCAATACATCTTCTTGCTATTATGAAGGTGCCTAACGGGTTGATTCTTAAGCTTCAGCCGATAATTGAAGCTTTTTTTTGGGCAGACAAAGAAGAAAGAAGGAAAAGGCATTGGTGTTCTATTCAGAAATTAATGCTTCCTTGTGATGAAGGGGGATTGGGAATTTGTAGCTTTGAGGATGTTTCAAAAGCCTTTTGTTTAAAACAAGTGTGGAATATTCTTAAGGGTGATTCATTATGGGCAAAGATTTTTTCTTCAAAATTTCTTAAAAATTCTCATTTGTTGAGTAGAGACAATGGTGCAAGATCTCCAATATATAATAGATTGGCTTCTTGGTTTAGACATGTGGTGGAAACTTCTAATATGCTTGTGGGCATGGGTGATCAAATGGATTTTTGGTGTGATAACTGGACTGGAACAGGTCCTTTGATTATGAAAACTGAAATAGTTCCAACATATTTTCCTAAGCTTTTGGAAGTATTGGTTGATTCTCAATGGCATATGGAGACGTTAGAAGTAGATGTTGAGGAGCATATTTATGAGGAGGTTTTCAATTCAGGAGTTGTATTGTCTCAACATAAGGATAGACTAATATGGCAGTGTACTTCTACTGGAGATTTTTCTTTGAAAACGGCCTGGGAAAGAGTACGTATACGAAAACAGAAGGATGAGGTTGCTGCTATGATATGGACACAATGTCTCCCTCCTAGTTCACAGCTCAATCTTTGGAAAATTAATAAAAGAATTATGCCTACAGATGAGAGAGTTCAAATCATAGGTATTATGCTGCCTAGTAGATGCTCTTTCTGTTTATTAAATTTTGAATATTTGCGACATATTCTTATTAACTGTCCCTTTGCAAAACGAATATGAGGAGGTATCTCTGCTAGTTTGGGTTTTGTTCTTATTGATGGGGAGTCTCCTATTGTTCGTTTTATGCGACTATGTTTGGCTTTTAAGAGGAACTCGGTGGGCAATGGTTTGAATAAAGGTGCTTCAGCTATTGTTTATTGGGAGCTTTGGAAAGAGCGTTGTAGAAGGATTTATGAGGGGTTGAGAATAACTCCTAATATGGTCATACAGAAGGCGAAAAAATGGTTGGGACATTATGCAAGGATCATTAAGCCGAAAGTTAAGGGGAGTTTACAGGAGCAAGTAACTCTCCGATGCCTTAATGCTAGTATTAAGCCTGTGTTGATGGAGAAATGGGTGAGATGGGATCTGCCTAATGATGGGGAGTTAAAGTTGAATGTGGATGGAGCTTGCAAGGGGAATCCGGGAATTTCGGGAGGAGGGATGGTTTTTAGGAATCAATGGGGATAAGTGGTGTTAGCTAGGTCCAATTTGCCATATCAAGGTAGGAGATTAGTCATACAAGATCAGCTCCAACTGAAGATTTTACGGAAGAAAATGACCTTTCAATCAGTCGGAGGATAGCAGTTGAATACCTTTTCATTAGCGATTTGAGCAAGTGCCATTCAGTTGCAAGGCAGTTGGTGCTTCAGCTGGTTTTTATCTTCAAAGGACTCCAACATCTCCAAAGCTGAAGTCTATCTGTTACTGTTCATGGAAGTGGTACTATTCACGGTACTGTTTACGGTACTATTCAGCCACTTAAGCTTTAAGAATTTATTTCTTTAGCTTTATTTTTAAATGCATTATGATGTAATTGCATGCATTTTTATTTATTTATTTAGTTTTATTCATAATGTATTTAGATGCATATCGAGGTAACATACATATGTCTCCCTCGCTAGGTGTAATTTATTTTCAAAATCAATAAAATTCTCTCGTATTGTTGAGGTTACACAAAAAAAAACGTCAACTACAATGATTCAGAATGATTAGATTAGAATTTTAGGGGATAAAATAAAAAAACTAAATATTTTCGGACAAAAATGACAAAATTTGATAGTTAGAGGACAAAAGTGTGATTAATAAATGATGCCAATAGATCGATCCTAAGCGCGAAGGGTTAATATTATGTTTTTATCCCCTAACTATCACAAAATTCTTTTACTGTAGTAAAAAATATTCAATATTTTTAAATAGTCTCATTTTTAAGGACCAAATTAATTAAATTTTTATGGGACGAAATTACAACCATTAACCTTTACAAATGTTGTAATTAACTATTGTTGAATGTTATAATATTTATATATTTATGGTTTGTCCAAATGTTTTTGGTTTTTTTTTTTGGACTGAAACTAAATTGATAAAAGTTAGAGAATAAAAGTGTTACTAACAACAAATAAATAAATTAGGACTGACCACTATTTTGTTCCCGCTTGTAATGCGGTAGAAAAAAGTTGTAAACACTCAGGAAAAAATTATAATGAATAAAAATAAATAAATAAATTACGATCGACCGTACTACTTCGTGGCTGCTTGTAGTTTTATAAACAAATAGGTGTAAGGAATAAGAAAAAAGTTGTAACGAATAACAAATAAATAAATTACGACTCAATAAATACAATTTTATCCTTTAAATTTCACAAAAATTTTCAATTAAGATACAAATATTTTCAATTATAAAATAAAATTATTAAAATTTTACAGGGTTAATTATTTGGGTTGCATTCCAACTTTTTTGTACATGACAACTTTTTTGGGTTGAGTTCTAACTTTTAAGGGTTGACTTCCAACATTTTTAGTAGCAGTTACAACCATTGGGATTTGAGTTTCAACTTTTCTGAATTGAATTAGAAGGTCTAATTTTTTGAGTTGGGTTTTAATTTTTTTGGTACGTGTTCCAACTTTTTTGATGGATAAATATTGGGGGTGGGTTCCAACGTGTCTGGAGGATTCCAACTTTTGTGGGATGGGGTCTAACTTTTTTTGATTGAATTCCAACTTTTTTGGGTTGAGTTCCAACTTTTGTAGAACGAGATTCAACTTTTTTTGGTTGAGTTTCAACTTTTTTAGTACTAGTTACAACCTTTGGGGTTTGAGTTCTAAGTTTTTTGATTGAATTACAACTTTGACGGTAGGTTTAAATTGTTCTGAATTGAGTTAGAGGGTATAATTTTTTGGGTTGAGTTCTAACTTTTTTGATAGAGATTTCACTTTTATGATGGATAAATTTTGGGGTGGATTCCAAATTGTCTGGAGGGGTCAAACTTTTGGGGGATGGGGTCTAACTGTTTTGGATTGAGTTCAAATTTTTTCGGGTTGAATTTCAACTTTTTCGGGTAGATTCCAACTTTTGTGGGATGGGGTCCAATTTTTTTGGGTGAGTTGCAAGTTTTTTGGGTGGGTTTTAACTTTTATAGATTGAGTTACAACCTTTTAGGACAACTTCCAACTTTTGGGTTACTTCGGTTACAACCTTTTGGGATTGTTTCCTACTTTTTGGGGTGATGGAGCTATTACCTTTTAGGGTATGGTTACAATTTTTGGGGTTGGTTACCACTATTGAGGTGAGTTCTAACTTTTTTGGGTTGAGTTTCAATTTTTTCCGACAAGGGTTCGAACTTTTATGAATGATTATGTTACAACTTTTCGGGTGGATTCCAACTTTTGTGGGATAAGGTCTAACTTTTTTGGGATGGTTCTAATTTTTTTGGGTGGGGTCTATCTTTTTTGGGTTGAGTTCCAATTTTTTTGACAGGAGTTCCAACTTTTATGAATGACAAGTTGGTGCACACGTGCGTTGCACGTGGACCATTTTGAGTTATTATTTTTAGCAAGTATTGCTTGGCCAAATTATTCTTGAAAACCTTATATTGAAACATAAATAATAAGCTAGGTTCTAACTTAAAGACATGATCTTTAGGTTATCAAACTTGCTCATACCATAATATTATTATCTAACAAAAAATACCCATGATGATGATATGAAAACCAGACTTCACATACAATTGTAATGACAACCATGCCTTTTCAAGAGAGATAGAGATAGATAGAAACAATAAATTGATGTAACCATGAAATATTGTCTTTCTTAAGGATGATGTTAAAGACAATCAACTATCCAGTACTGTTCAATACTTCATTAAATAATCAGTCTCAAACTCTCTAGCCAAATCCATTCTTGACTTCTCAAATGAAGCTCCCACTTAAAAGTCAAAAAAAGAATGACCTCAAAAGGCTGTAGAATATTAGTGATTAGTTGCAACAAACCTATAGACTTTGAAAGTATATCCATGACCATTTAAGTTCAAAAAATATTCATTTTACTATCAGCCCTAGCCACCGTACCTTCCAGCTCAGAGAACGATCAATTTGACCAGCAACACATGAAGCTAATCCAAAGTCATAACTTGCAAATCACAAAACAAATCAAATGACATTTTCAAAACTACATCAATTGAAAATAGTGAAGGAAAGTTATTTCTAGAACTCACCCCCATTCATCTTTCCAAGATCCAAGCCCTCAAAGTTCTTAAATGTCAAAAATGGTGGCAAAGTGGACTGTCAATGGCTATCTACCAGATGGATTAATGTTTGAATGGGTTCTTTTCAAATTCCAACTCCATGACTCAAAATGCATGCAAATTAATGAGATTGATTTTATTAGTAGTTTAGATATAGAGATATTAATATAGTAGCTCAAACATCACTAGATTTTTTTTTAAAATTAAAATAGCAACCAATAACTTAATTCAATCCACATAAAACAATTACATATAATTTAATAACGTTATTAACTATAAAAAGATATGACAGAGATTAGTTATTTTGTTTAGGTTATTTTTATCAAACAAAAGTTCTTCACTTTTGTTGACATTGCAAAGTAGTGTAGATATATATATAACATTAAATGAAATTTGTAGATTGAGCAGAGAAGATAATAGAAAAAAAATTGAAAGATTAGAGAAGAAAACATCAAAGTTATGAGGGGAAGATATAAACTTTAATAGAATGAGCAATGAACAGTCTATATTTTAGAGTATTCCATTGTCTTTACTTAAATTTTTAATTGTGAAAGAATAATTCAAAAGTTTTTCAAGATATTGATTGACATTTAAAAGTAAAATTGATATAGATAAAAATATAGAATAGTAGATCAAGAGTTACAATCACAAATAATATAACATTAATGTTTTATTCTAACTCTAAAAGGATAGTATGGACATTAACTACATTATTAGGGTTAACATCGTCAAACATTTTTTTCACTTTTGTTGACATTTTATAGTAATATAGATATAGATTAAGTTACAACTTTGTGGGATGGATTCCAACTTTTATGGATTGAGTTACAACCTTTTGGGTCGGCTTCGAACTTTTGGGTTGCTTCACTTATAACTTTTTGGGATTAGTTCCTACCTTTTGGGGTGGTGGAGTTATTACCTTTTAGGGTGAGGTTACAATTTTTGGAGTTGATTACCACTATTGGGGTGTAGGTTACAGCTTTTGGAGGTAAGTTTATCACATTTTTTGGGTTATTTTACTATTTTTTTGGTATAAGATTATTTGATTTTTTAGTAAAACACAACTACCTTATAATTACCTGTTTATCAGGTAACCTATATCATCCACTCAAAACTCATCAATGGCTAAAAAAATCATAAGAATTTGATCATTGATCCATAGTAATAAGCGGTATGATATCGAAAAATATTTTTTAGTATAGTAGAAGGAATTCCTAAATACATATGTTTGGGCTTGAAGTCGTTAAGATCTCTAGTACACCAACACGGGGTCCGCCTATAACTCTAATTACTAGCAAAGCCAGCAGTCCCCAAACACTACCATCTACAACATGATCCCACAATGGATACTCTTTGACAGAATAAGACCGTACATTTGGACTCCATTCCTGCCATTTATTTTGAAACACACGCAAGGGATGGCTAATATCTTCTGCTTCTTCATTGTCGTCCACAATATAATTATTATTTACACAGTGCCTCCTATACGAAATAAGTCTTTCATTAAAAATATTAATACTAGCAGGTTGGTGTGAAGTTGTAAGGACATAGTTGCCTCCAATTGATCTGGGTACCAAAAACTGAACTACTAGAACTGAATTCTAGAATTTTAAGCCATTGACCAAATCTTTCATAGCAACTTTTTTCAAACAAGTTTATGTGGTTGGAGGGTAAAGAGCACTTGATAAATTTTTATTCAAATAAGTAGCTTAGTGAAAACCAAACGAAACAGTACTAATACTTACCAGAAGGCAAAGAGGAGTGGTATCATACAAACATTAATTTTATAATTTTGGTATAACTTTTTTGGGTGGGGGTTATTCCAACCCCTTAAATCTCTTTTCTAACCTCATTTAATCATTTTACTTCAAACTACTAAGTTTACCCAATCGGCCCATTTATAACAATCTCATTTGTTACTAAACCCTCTCCATTTATATGCACTAA